CGTCCCAAGGCCGTGCGAACAAGGCGACGTTTGGCCTGGACTTTCAGGGGCCAGTTACCGAGGCTGTTGGATTTATTAATTGGAAGAAACAAAAATTGTCACCATCAAAATCCCTTGAGGTAGAACATCTCGTCTGTAAGGGGCGCCAGGTGTCATCTGTGGGCCCATGGAGTGCAAATGGCGGTGGGTGAAGTAGCCCCTTGACGGCAGGAGGGAGCCTCTCTCGTCTTGTCCTGGACTGGAGCCCAGAATAGCCTGGGAGCATGCCTGGTGATTCTTGAATGCATGCTAATTAACCTCGTTCTGATATACTCTGCGGCTAAGGGTTGTGGTACATTATTAACCTTATTTTCAATTCTCATAGCTACAAAGTGGTGCTCATTTTTGTTGACTCTCGAGGGATGATAGGTTGAGTCAACCCCCCAAACCAGGATTTGAACTCGCAACCTTTGCATTGCAAGCCACCCGCTCTAAAACGCTCTACCACTGCAAAAGAAACATCGCGCTCTTTTTTGTTCTGGGCTACATGCAGATTGAGACCGTAAGTCAAGCTCAGGGCTCAATAGCAGGAGGGCACGTGACAGGCCCAGCCCTGATCTCTGACCTATGCTGCTCATGTGTCAACCTGCTGTATGTTTTCCGTCTGTTGTTGCAATTGTCGCTCTTCCACTTCCCGTTGTTGCTAGCCGGCAAATGCTGTTGTTTGCGTGCATGTTGTTGGACTTCGTTCGCACCGTACGTTACCAACCCGTGCTGATCGGAGGTGCTGGTGGTGCAGCGGTTAGTGCGCTGCACTACGAATTTGGCGACCCGAAAATTACATTTGACGCTCATGGCCACCGACTCCGTTGACGTTAGCGGGTCCGCCCAGCTCTAAGTCCTCCCGTTTCACCTGAGCGACCCAACTCCTCTCTGGCCCAAGCTACATCAGTTTATCCTCCCTGTGCGTGCGTTTGGGCGGCCATGCGGGGCTCCTGGAGACAGCTAACGGCATCCTTCTCGCACGCTCGACGAGCCCGCCGACTAAATCATAGATATCCATTGTAATTGATATGACTCCATTCACCCACCCCCCTCATAGTGATAACATCACAATTACCCCTCTATTAAAGACTGACACAGGAGGTGGATTTCTCCACAATTCTGGCTGTCACCTGGTGATGCTGGTTGTTGTAATTACCGGCGACACGGCACGGTACTCGAATTGTAAAGGTTGCGGGTTTACTCTCCAACACACAACCGGCGAGTGCTGGACTAGTAACTAACTGACTAGTAACTAACTGGCAAGTCTTGTTTACGCGACAGACTTCACTGATTGGCCATGTCGGGTGGTGGTGGGTTTAACGACTCACATTTACATTCACGCGATCTACCCCAACGAAAAATAAGAGAACCCCCCCCCCCCCTCCTATCCTGTATACGTTTCCGATGTCTGCGAACCTCCTCGCACAAATCCAGTTCGGGTGAAGCCGGCGGGCTCTTTGGAGCGGACGCAACGGGCGTTCGGTGGAGCCGCGGTCGCGTGCCCGCGAGTTACACCGGCCGCTTGCGGGGAGCCTCCAGACACAACAGGCGATTGCCACACGCGCGGCGGCTCAACTCTCATTCGCTCTGCCAATTTGGCGATCGGCCTGCACGTTGCCACAGTTGAAGAAGATGTTAAATGTGCACAAGTTTACCTTGTGTATGCACAGCGAGGGTTTTGTACACTGTTTATGTATCCATTACAAGGCTCTGGCTGGGCATAGCTGTGTGTGTGGCTCCACGTCCCGAGTCAACACACATTGCTCCGAGTATCTACGATCAATGCAGGCAAATACTCACATGAGCGACGTTGCGAAACGATAGCTTTACTTGTTTTCGTACTTCCTTAAACAATCAATTCCTTCTCAGTCTGGACCTCCAACGATGCAACTCTCCAGCACTCTCCCCACACCCCTCCCAGCTCTCTCTCCACACTCCATCAACCATTCTCTGTCCACTGTTCAATGAAGGCCTTCGGATGTTGCTGCTGCTGCCGCCTTTCTCGTGGCCCTGCGAGTCCACGGGCTACCTCGCCACGGCTGCACGGTAGCAGTCGTGCCACTCGCGTACTTTCACTCCTTTGAGCAAAAACGAAACTTGTACAATCAACAAAGTAAGATCATAGTTTGGAGAATATCTCCGGCAAATCGTGCAGCGTAATGCGTTGCGGCGGTCCCTGGAAGCGGACCGTCATCAGAACGGTGGAACACGGAGGGCCAGCGAGAGCCGCTTTTGCGGCCCTCCGGAAACTGAACCCGGTCGCGAAGAGTCGTGAAGAAGGCCGTTGTCTAACCACGGCGCATCAGCTTCTGCGACGTACGGATCATAAACGTGGACACTGTCAAGGGAAATGGTGGAGAAAATGTTTTTGCAAATAAGCGAGGAGAGACAGATGGCTGCGGAGTTACACCGATAAAGGCAGGGAGCGGAACACATGGAGAAAACTTCACACACGCGCGCTCAGAGACGTCATTGGCTGTTAGGGAAAACGCGTTGAGTTCGTGCAGTGTCCGTCGATGGGAGGAATGATGGCCGATGGATAAGGCCGACGACGGAATGGCAGGCAAAGGAGAGAATGCACCTCGAGAGGACGACCGCTGGGGGCACGAAGTGGCGAGATCAGCGCATGTACAGCAGCGTGCGGAGGGGGCGGGGGGAATAGCAGGGGAATCATCCAGCAGTGGGTAGATCAGGGCTGACGACCGTGGCGGTGAGCGTGCAGTGGCAGGTTGCGTGTGCGGTGACGGATACGGGTGAGCGTTATCTCGCTGCGCACGCTTCCTCACCCACTCACCCCGGGCAGGCGCTGCCAATCAATGAGAGCCCCGCAGCCAATGTACACATTGGGCCAGGCCATTACGGGCGGCAGCGGCAGGAACGGTCTGCATTGTGTTCTGACAATGCGCGCGCGTTCAAGGTACCGTGCCACCGGTCCGCACATTGTTCGAGTCGCGTTTCCCTCTCGTCCAGTTACGCAGCATTCCCTAATTGTTGTGATTTTAGCAGCTGACAGGGTGATGCTGAAACCCGTGAGCGCACACATTATTCAGAAAGCTTCATTATATGCGTGCGCGCGTGTGTGTGCTTTACAGCGATTGCTATTCATGAGATAAGCCAATATGCCTGGCAGCTATATACTTATTTGCAGCTTGAACACAACAACAGGAGAGAGAGAGTGTGGAGGGTCCGTGGAGAGGCGGTTAAATCACAATAGCCTCTCTTTTAGTGCTATCGGAGCCCCGTGCCTCGGCCGGATGAATGTGCACCTGGAGTCCTCTGCGTGCATTTTAAAGCCCAGCGAGATGTTTACAGCGAGATGTTCCCAGCGAGATGTTCCCAGCGAGATGTTTCCAGCGAGATGTTCCCAGCGAGATGTTTCCAGCGAGATGTGTCCAGCGAGATCTGTCCAGCGAGATGTTCCCAGCGAGATGTTCCCAGCGAGATGTTCCCAGCGAGATGTTCCCAGCGAGATGTTCCCAGCGAGATGTTCCCAGCGAGATGTTCCCAGCGAGATGTTTCCAGCGAGATGTGTCCAGCGAGATGTTCCCAGCGAGATGTTCCCAGCGAGATGTTCCCAGCGAGATGTTTCCAGCGAGATGTGTCCAGCGAGATGTTCCCAGCGAGATGTTCCCAGCGAGATGTTTCCAGCGAGATGTTCCCAGCGAGATGTTTCCAGCGAGATGTTTCCAGCGAGATGTTCCCAGCGAGATGTTCCCAGCGAGATGTTCCCAGCGAAATGTTCCCAGCGAGATGTTCCCAGCGAGATGTTCCCAGCGAGATGTTTCCAGCGAGATGTTCCCAGCGAGATGTTTCCAGCTAGATGTTCCCAGCGAGATGTTTCCAGCGAGATGTTCCCAGCGAGATGTTCCCAGCGAGATGTTCCCAGCGAGATGTTCCCAGCGAGATGTTTCCAGCGAGATCTGTCCAGCGAGATGTTCCCAGCGAGATGTTCCCATCGAGATGTTCCCAGCGAGATGTTCCCAGCGAGATGTTCCCAGCAAGATGTTTCCAGCGAGCTGGCAAGCACAAGCAACTCCACAGTCACAAGAAGCCCCGAACAACCCCCGACCTCCACGCGAAGGTCGGGGGTTTGCGTGTGCAAGAAACAAGTGAATGCCTCAGTGGGCTTTGTCTGGTAGGGTGGGGCTGGTTTAGTTGTATCTGTATGTGCTTGGGTGATTTGTTTACCTTTCTTGCTACTTTACACTACATTCGTGTTTTTGTACTGCTCGTTGTTGTCTCGTTCTTACCCCGTGCCCAGATTGCACAGCTGTGAACAAAGAGCTTTGTAGCTCATCGGATTCCTCCTGCAGTATAAGTATTCTGATTCTGATTCCGATTCTGACCTGGGGATGGAGATGCTTGCAGCGAAGGTGATGTGGGAAGATTCCGCCCTCGTGCGGAATCTTCCCAGGAGTTGTGGACCTGACGCATCCTTGTACTCATGACATTATCACCCTGAATCCATTTCAATGGTTGACTTCATTTTTACTACCTTCTCTTAACTTAACCACTGTCATGTTTACGTACTTTTGTGCGGTATTTTTATATTTTTTCTGTAACGCAGTTGCTTAAATTTGTTTATGTTGCCCTGATTTTTCTTGTTATTTGGTTTGTTTCTGCTCTGATTTCTCTTTGCTTTATTGTAATCACTTTGCCTTTGATTAAATCGATTTTGTCTTTTTTGGCGACTCGTCGACCGCTCGTACGCGTGAGACTCCTCTAATCCTTGTCTCTTGAGCTCTCACCTGGTTCAACAAAAACTTTTTTTTTAACTTGCAGGTTATGTTTCTGCCCGCGGTAATTGCCTGCGATGGGGCGCTACTGTGCACGTAAACTGGAGTGGGAGGTGTGGGTAGGGCACAAGGGTGCGGGGCCGGTAATTGGGATTGAACGCGCTGCTGTACGGCTGAAGGATTTATCGCGACGCGCGCCTGAGTGGATTTGTTCGCGGGCGGTTTGTGCGGCTGCCGCAGAGCGGGAGCGACTCGCCACCGAAGAGCGAGGAGGGCGGCCGGGAGAGCGGAGCCGGGGGCGCCCTGGGGACCCCCGAGCGGCGCAAGGGCAGCCTGGCGGACGTGGTGGACTCGCTCAAGCAGAAGAAGCTGGAGGAGCTCACGCGCGGCGACCACCACGGTGGGTGCGCGCGTGCAGGGCATCACCTGCCTAAGTAGGTCACGCGCTCTCCACGCCCTGCCGCCGACGCGCTCCGTACCCGGGGCGCATTTTCTTTACCCCCAAAGGGCCCCCCCCCCCCCAAAAAAAAAAATGGTCAAGCGGTACGGCAAAGCGGCGTTGCTCCGTGGGACCTCCGCGTCAATCGGCCTCCGCGGGGTTGACGCAGGGAGGACACCGGTGGTTGTGCAACCGGTGACTCAATCCCTCGCTCTTTGTCCATTGTTGCCGCATTGGATTTCGTCATTTGCGCCAACTCCACCTGTTTGCACTTCTCTTGCGTCGTGGGCTCTGCAGCCAGCGGTCCACTTCACGGCAGACACATTTTCAGCTCGAAGGGTTTTTGGGCTTGGGGATTTCACGAGGGCTTCCTACAGCTGCGTGTGTCAGCCGCAATATGTCTTCAGCTGGCCGTGTGCGCAACGCTAGCCAAAGGGCAGAGCACAGCCAACCTGCCACAATCGCATCAAGCCCTCCAGTTTAGCAGTAAAGGGATTTACTTGAACAATATTGGCCTCCCGAGAAGCCTGGCTCCCTCGACCAGGGGTGGGATATAAATATGTGTGGCGTTACTAAACCATCTGTACCATCTGTACCGGGCTCACACATCACAGACTCTACACAACAAAACCACCACCACGCTGATCAATAATGTAACTGAAACATCCTTTTCATTTTTAACTTTAAAAGAGATTGTTTTTTCTTTCAGGAAACATACCTGCAATTCATAGCGCATTATGGCAGCAATATTTTGCTTAAAGTGCTAAGTAATAAAAAAGACAAAATAGCTTGGGAATATTGAATAGTAATTTAAACAACGTATTTGGTGGTGCACAACTAACACAAGACTTCGTGTTGTTGAGTAAAGTGTTGATTCCTTTTTTGTTGCGATTAAATAGGCTTCTAACCACCCAATTACACCACGAATAATGAGAATTGACACGACTATCAACGTTGTGTGTTGCTTATGTCAGGATAGGGCAGCCCCCCTGCTACAGCCAGGCTCCCACTCCTCCCAACCCATTCTCCCATGAGGCCTCTCATCCCCCCTCACAGCTCACCACTCACAGCTCACCACTCATAGCGTGTACACACACACAGTGTACACACTACACACAGTGTACACACCACACACAGTGTACACACACACACACAGTGTACACACACACAGTGTACACACACTACACAGTGTACACACTACACACAGTGTACACACCACACACAGTGTACACACACACACACAGTGTACACACACACAGTGTACACACACTACACAGTGTACACACTACACACAGTGTACACACTACACACAGTGCACACACACACACACCGTGTAAACACACACACAGTGTACACACCACACACAGTGTACACACACACAGTGTACACACACACAGTGTACACACTACACACAGTGTACACACTACACACAGTGTACACACACACACACACATTGTACACACTACACACCGTGTACACACACACAGTGTACACACCACACACAGTGTACACACACAGTGTACACACTACACACAGTGTGCAAACACACAGTGTACACACCACACACAGTGTACACACTACACACAGTGTACACACAGTGTACACACTACACACAGTGTACACACCACACACAGTGTACACACTACACACAGTGTACACACAGTGTACACACTACACACAGTGTACACACCACACAGTGTACACACACACACACAGTGTACACACTACACACAGTGTACACACAGTGTACACACTACACACAGTGTACACACCACACAGTGTACACACACACACACAGTGTACACACTACACACAGTGTACACACAGTGTACACACTACACACAGTGTACACACCACACAGTGTACACACCACACACAGTGTACACACTACACACAGTGTACACACAGTGTACACACTACACACAGTGTACACACCACACAGTGTACACACACACACACAGTGTACACACACACAGTGTACACACACTACACACAGTGTACACACTACACACAGTGTACACACACACAGTGTACACACACACAGTGTACACACTACACACAGTGTACACACCACACACAGTGTACACACCACACACAGTGTACACACACACACAGTGTACACACCACACACAGTGTACACACCACACACAGTGTACACACACACAGTGTACACACTACACACAGTGTACACACCACACACAGTGTACACACACAGTGTACACACAGTGTACACACCACACACAGTGTACACACCACACAGTGTACACACTACACACAGTGTACACACACACACAGTGTACATAACTACACACAGTGCACATCCACACACACAGTGTACACACCACACACAGTGTACACACACACAGTGTACACACACACAGTGTACACACCACACACAGTGTACACACCACACACAGTGTACACACACACAGTGTACACACCACACACAGTGTACACACACGCAGTGTACACAACTACACACAGTGTACACACACAGTGTACACACCACACACCGTGTACACACTACACACACCGTGCCCATCGATGGCTTGTGTTGCTATCGAAACGTCGTGATTCATTTTGTTTTCTACCTACGTGACTTTACCGAAAGAACCAAAGAGTATGGATTCCTGCAGTCACGAAAGCTTCAAATCAAAGTGATATCTACTTTGTTCAACTCCATCCCCCCCCCCCCCCCCCCCCCCATCTGCGTTGGTTGTTTCTTTATTTCACGTCGTGGTCGTGTCGCGTATTCGACATAGGCCCCTTTGGTCTGTTTCGGCTCCGTGCACACAGAGACTCCTCGCTTCATGGTGGGGCCCTTGGCTCAACGTTGCCTCGACGTCGCTGGCTTTAACCCGGGGAAGTCTCGGCCGAGTCTCGAGAACATTTGCAGGAGGAGGAAATGTCACCGCGCGCGTGTCCGTGACCCTAACTTGAGTCATTTCAGCATCGGAATGCTTTTCCATTGCCGGTTACATTGCGTGGTTCGTTGTCGCTATATGGGGAGGAAACTCATGCAGAACAGGGTGGGGACAGACGGAAAAGGTGCCCATGTCAGGAATCGAACCCAGGGCCCTCCTTGCTGTGAGGCAAACATTTTTACCACTGGTGCTGCCGCCCTGCCGCTCATATATATGCACACATATTTCGATTTGAAGATTTCGTGACTGCAGGGATTCATCTTCTTGGTTCTTTCGGTAAAGTCACGTAGAAGGGAAGTAATACAATAATAAAAATAAAACATAATAAAATAATTCTTACGACGTTTCGGCCACAACGCAAGCAGCCGTCCTCAGGTGGAGAACAGGTCTGTCAAGTAGACAGAATCTGAATGGCACGCCCCAGGCTTGGAGCGACTATTTATGCTGTGATGGAGGGGCGAAGAGCGTCTTGACATGTAAATTATTTTGTCAAGACGCTCTTCGCCCCTCCATCACAGCATAAATAGTCGCTCCAAGCCTGGGGCGTGCCATTCAGATTCTGTCTACTTGACAGACCTGTTCTCCACCTGAGGACGGCTGCTTGCGTTGTGGCCGAAACGTCGTGAGAATTATTATATTATGTTTTATTTTTATTATTGTATTACTTCCCTTCTACGTGACTTTACCGAAAGAACCAAGAAGATATATACACACATCATGTTCCCGTGTGCCCGAGTGGAAGAGCCACGCGACTTCACACTGCCATCGTTATGATGTTGAGAACGAGTTACTCAGACTGCCACTTGATGCTAATGAGAGGAAATCCGTGAGGGTTATTACTTCTGCCGAAGCCAAATCACCCCTCTGCACTCTCCCCCAATAACAAAGCGACTCCCTTTCAGCAATCAAAAACTGCTCGCAGGTGATTGCCTGAGCTGCGAGGCTGCTGCCAAGCCGACAGCACCAGACAGACACGGACACCATCATCGCCTGCCGCAGCGGCAGCGACAAGGGCCCCGTGAGAGCGGCACCGCTACAGGCCACGCACCTCCCTCCTCCTCCTCCGCGGGCAGGCCTGGGACCCAGCGCGGGCCTTTTGAACATCCAAGGGACGGCGCCGTTAGGGCCGAAGCGGGTTTTGGGTTCGGGTGTGCGGGAATTGATTTGTTGCCGAGATCTGACACCGATATTGTGTGGGACTTCATTGCGGTTGACCGCGTGGTTTTTTGAGAATTGACCTCGGCTGACCTGAGCGTCCTGTCTACCTTGGTTTGGTCGATGTTGTGAAAGGTGGCCACCGCGTGCACACAGTTTGTATCGGTGACCCGTGAACGAGTGGAGTGACTGCGCTTGGACTCCCAACATATTTAGAGAGGGCCACTAGTCCACCACCTTTGGTTGGATGCCTTTTGGTGTCAGGCGCTATGCAATTAGCAAAGACTGATGATGGATGCTGGGATGTTGTTGAGCACGGTTGTCTTCGTACGGTACGACAGAAGTTCAACATACATACATGTTATCGGTTTATGTGGTTTTTTTTTTACAGACATTTGGATCTTGATTGAAGCACAACTTGCAGTTAGATTTACTGTATACTGCATATACAGGGCGCTTCAAAAACATGTTAACACTTCCGAGAATTTCCAACAATACCACAAGAAATGTGCCTCCGGGCTCTGGAGACCACCTGGAGAAGACTGCAGGCCACGTTGACGACGATGGCGAACAAGTGGAGACTCTGGCTTTTTGAAGCAATTAACATGCAGTTGTTAGCATGTTACAGTGTGTATTGTCCGTTCTTTTTCCATTAAAAACGATAGTCACATGTAAATGTTAACATTTATTTGAAGCCCCCTGTATATGGATTGCCTCTGCGCAGAGCCCATTGAGTGTAGTAATTCACACGTGTAAAGTACGAGAACACGCAATACAACAGAAGACATTCATGCAGCCTGCAACAAACATATCTAACAATACACAAAGGTGTGCAGCATTGCATCTTTCAAATGTTCTCAACCTTGTCTGGACCACCAGCTC